ACTGTAAACGGAGTTGAGCTTGTTGTAACAACCAATGACTCAGCAACTATTGGCAATACAGTGAACAGTTTTAATCAACAAGTAAAGTTTATATTATCTCACATTGTATTTGCATTGCTTGTGTCTTGGGTAGTACTAATTGCATTATCTTACATACTTTTAAGTCATTGTTTTGTCTCTGTATGTGGTACATGTAATATCACAGTTTCATAATTCTCATTGTTCATTTTTCTATAGATTCAAAATGGCAGCAATGTCACTCTAACTTTGAATGGTCGCAATGTTTCCCTGGATTCCTTTGAGAGTGGTATGATCATTATAGTATAGCTATTATCATAATAATAATTTAGCTTGCATTTATAGCAATTTTATGATACATTGAAGTACACTTACATGTATATCTTAATAGTAGTATAAATGACCTTTTAAAAAGGGAATGGTGACCACATTACCACTAGTTTGTACTACTATACTGATTTATATACACATAGAGGTCACTTGGTGTGGTTTTACCTGTTTCCAGTTTATCAGTTGGTAATTCCCTGATAATGTACTGGTGGCATTAAGTTTTATACAGTCCAGTATTAAATAGCAGACACCTGTAATAATAGTGGTAGATATACACCCATTTAGTGGAATTAAATTTAAAATTAAAATAAAAGGACATTTTATAATCTTGAAATTGCTAATATGTGCAAATACAAAAATACTTCTTTTTGTCATTAATTTTGTATTGTGTTTAGAATAAATTTAGACTTGTTAGATTTATTATAATTGTTTTAGTTAATTTATTTGGGTATTTTTAATTGCAAGTTTTACAATTTTATTTTCTAGTTATAGCGTCGCCCACTCCTTCTCCAACAGTCACGCCTACTTCATCAACCACACCTCCTGTTAATACACCTGGTTCTACTACTACACCAACCGATGATGGTGGGCTGACCTCTGGAGCCATTACTGGTATTATATTGGCCTGTTTGCTGGGGTTCCTTATAGTGCTTGTTGTTGCTGTGGCTGTTAGCTATTTTGTATACACAAGAGCTGGAAAGATTAAGAGTTATTCATTCAATAATGGACATGTAAGTTAATAATTATTATAATAATTATTATACCATGCCTAGTTGCAATTGACCAATCAGATTGCTTGATTTTAGGTTCATAAATAACTTATTTACCACTAGGAGGTTTGATAAGTAATTTCCCTGGTAATAAGTTAATAAGTTTGTCCGGGAGGTTCATAAGTTTGCCCGGGAGGTTAAAAGTTTGCCCGGGAGGTTAATAAGTTTGCCCGGGAGGTTCATAAGTTTGTCCAGGAGGTTAATAAGTTTGCCCGGGAGGTTCATAAGTTTGCCCGGGAGGTTCATAAGTTTGCCCTGGAAATTACTTATTAACCTCCTGCTAAAAATAGGCATGCATGCCATGCTGTTGCTAAGTGTTGCTAAGTAAACTAGTTGTTTTACTTGTTTATTTTACATGGTAGAAGTTGGTTATACAACTCTGTGTCGGTATCTATGGCCTTATCATACCTCTGGCCTACGGCCCTCGGTATGATAAATGCCATAGATACCTCACCTCGTTGTATAACCTATACTTATTTAATAGTTTTGAATGGCATATACTGCTAGAAAGAGCTGCCAATTAAAATTTGGAGTGATTTGGGAGTTATTTATAAACCATGGGCTCTAAAAAATGTTCACAACTCGAATAATTTTGGTCGAAATCAGCTCAAACTTGCTATATGGCATAAGGACATCAATATGTATCAGAAAATGTAATAAAAATTGTGGGTGATTTCGGAGCCATTTTTTGGAAAAAACCATGGGCTATAGCCTTGGGTATTTTTCAGATTTTGGCTCATTTTTTAAAATGGCCGTAACTTGAAAAATTGAAGTCGGAATCAGCTCAAACTTTCTACGTAGCATAAGGACGTCAATATGTATCAGAAAATGTAAT